GCTTAGGACTACTGGAAATTAACACTACAAGAAGCCTCAATCACAGCCTCAGCTGAACAAATCAGAGACTTATTTGCCATAATTCTAACATGTAACCCATCAAATTCAACAACGACATCTTCAATGAAACACTCATTCGCCTAGAAGATAAATGTTTAGCAATAAAAAACCAGACCTTAGTACAACTTGGGATGCCAGCACCACGAAAAGATGCTTTCAGTGTGCTAAACTTCGAAATTGCAAAGGAAAAAAGCTACATCAACAAACTACTTCAATACATTGCTCACAACAAACCACTCCTCAATGACAACAAAAAAAAAAATTTACAATGTCATCATGGACCGGATCAACAACACTGGCAGAATTATTTACTTGGACGCACTGGCGGCACAGGGAAAACATTTCTAATAAATCTATTGCTGGCAGAAATACGTGCTAAACAACACATCACACTTGCACTGGCATCATCCGGCATTGCAGTCACACTTATGGAAGGAAGACGAACTGCCCATTTGGCCCTACAACTACCATTGAATATAGCCGAAGAACAATTTCCGGTATGTAAAATCTCAAGAGCATCTGGACGGGGTGAACTTCTAAAACAAGCTAACATTATCTTTTGGGACGAATGCACAATGGCACATAAAAAATCACTCAAAGCCATTGACAGATCATTACAGGACTTGCGAGGAAACTCTGAAGTGATGGGAGGAGCTCTACTCATACTCTTGGGAGATTTTCGACAAACACTTCCAGTTATCCCCAATTCAACACCAGCAGACGAGATCAATGCATGCTTAAAAAAATCACATCTCTGGCCACACACACAAATACTGCCACTAACAAAAAATATGAGAGTTGAACTCTCGAAAGACGAAACAACAGCACATTTTGCTCAAAAACTTTTACAAATAGGCGAAGGCACGTATCCCATTGACCAGATGACCAGCCTCATTGAACTCAACAGTGATTTTTGCAACATAGCCACTACTGAAAACGAACTCATCGACCAAATTTATCCAAACATTGTTCACAACCAATCTGGAGTGGCTACTTCAAAGGGCAATTTTGGCAACTAAAAATAATATTGTCGATAATATCAACTTTAATATTCAAAAGAAAATTCCCGGTGAGGAGCAAATACACAAATCGATTAACACAAATGGTAAACGTTGAAGAAAATGTCAACTTCCCTACAGAATTTCTAAACTGTTTGCAAGTACCAGGAATGCCATTACACTGCCTTCGACTGAAAATTGGATCTCTGATCATACTACTCAGAAATCTGAACTCACCAAAATTATGTAACGGAACAAGGATGATCATCAAACAGCTATCGAATAACATCACTGAAGCCGAACTTATGACTGGAAAGGACAAAGGGGACACAGTATTTATCCCCAGAATACCACTGATCTCTACTGAACTGCCATTCCAATTTAAAAGACTGCAATTTCCAATCAAATTAGCCTATAGTTTTACAATTAACAAAGCGCAAGGACACACTTTAAAACATTGCGGCATCAACCTCAAAGACTCCCGCTTCTCTCACGGTCAACTATACGTAGCTTGCTCTCGAGTAGGAAATTCGAAAAATTTGTACATATATACCGCGGATAACAAAATGAAAAATGTTGTTTATAAACAAGTATTGTAAATAGTTAAAAAAATTTTATTGAAAACATATTCTACCTCTTATATTTTAAAGTTTATCCTTTTATTCCAACTATCTCAACAATCTCATATCAACTCCCTGAGCGAAGCCAGGTACCCCAGCTAGTTCATTATAAAGAATAGATGCACCAGAATGGATAATTAAATTATGTTTATTAATAATTGAAAACAATTATTTCCAGTTTAATAAAAAATTCTACACCCAAACGAATGGAAAACCTATGGGAACTAATATAAAGGTCCAAAGCGGGCGGAAATAATATTCACGATACAGATTGATGAACAAATTAGTAATATACAAGGTATTGAATTTAACAACAGGTGTGTGGATGGCTGTATTATAATATTTGACAAAGGAAAAAACAAATGAGAATTTAACTAACCACGTAAAAGAAAATATCAAATCTGAAATTGAAACAGAAAGACAGAATAGCATTAACTATTTAGATATAACAATAGAAAGAAAAGACGATAAATTAATATATAAAAAATATGTAAAGCCTATGTAGATTCCTAAAGTAATTAATTATAAATCTATCATTCCAATAAGCATGAAATTTAATATATTTAAAATGTACAACTCCTAGACAAAAAATTAGAATATTCATCCTAGTTTAGTGTACATTTTCTCATGAACAACACAAAGTACAAAACTTTTTTTATCCTATATAAACAATGTTTATATATGTTTATTATACCCATTAATCACCCAAATTAACTCAAACGTTTTTTTGTTACAAATGGAAATGATATGGCAAAAAAATAGAACAACAGTTTGACAGTGACAAAAAATTAGAATATTAGCAAAAACAACCAAACAAACAGCCATTAAAAAACTAAATTGTAAATTTCCATATTGCTGGGAAGCACAGTATGACAGTACAACGTTGGGAGTAAGCGCGACATCAGTGACAGATCTAAAGATATTATCATAGACTTGTACAAGGTAGGAAGAACATAAAAAGAAATTGTGAATTATATAAAATGCTTGCAGCCAACAGTCTCTAGAGTACCATGTTCAAATTTTAAGTAATAAATGCCAGAAATGTGGATGTAAATGAGTAACAACTGCAAGGGATGAGAGAAACTTGAGAAGGACTGTCATGCAAAACTGCTTTAAGAGCATTAAACACTTGCATGCACAATGGACAGCAACTGGAGTGAATGTTAGTAGCCGAACCACATGCCAAAGGTTGCACGACTTGCACTTCAACTACTGTGTTCCCAAGATGAAGTCAACTATAATGAAAAAGCAACAACAAGCACGTGTCAGATGGTACAGAGAGATGTTCATGTGGGGACAAGATGACTGGAATACTCTCTTCAGTGACGAATCCCAGTTTTGTCTCTCCCATGGTGACCAAGGCCTACGAGTATGGAAAACAACCAAAGATGCCTTCCAAAAGGACTGTATGAAGAGATCCGTGAAGTTTGCATCACATATTATGATCTGGGGATGCATGAGTGCTAACGGCATAGGACAACTGTGCATTCTTCAAAACGTGTCATTGCACAGATATATTAAGACATCTTCGACACATTTATGATACAATCAGCAGGGAATTTAATTAAGAAAACATTTCTATATCAACAAGACAGAGCATCCTCTCATACTGCGTCAACGATACATTGATTACAAGAACAATAGATTGCAATCCTGCCTTGGCCAAGCAATTCCCCAGACTTAAACCCATTGAAATTTTGTGGAGAGTCATGAAACGACGACTTAATGAGCGGCGATCAAATTCTAAAGAGGAACTAGTGACATGCATTCGACACATTTGGAACAGCATCTCCAGAAACAAATGCAAAGCATTAATCTGCACCGTGCCCGACAGATTGAGAGCACTAATTATGGCAAATGGAGAGGCCACAAAATATTAAGTTTATTTTGTTGTATTTCCTATATTTAACACACATATAGCTAATATTCTAATTTTTTGTCACGATATTTATATTATAGAAACGATAAAAAAAAATACGAGATAACAGAAGAAAAAGGTATAGTATATTCGTTTGATTGCAGTTGTGAACAAAAGAAAACATACATAGGAGAAACAAAAAGAAAATTAAAATACGTATAAAAGAACATATTCGCACCATCAAAAGTAATTATGCAAATTCAGCGGTAGTAGAACACTGCAATACAACAGGATGTGAAATAGATCTGAGCACTATAAAAATAAAGAAAATAATAATAATAATTTTAAAATTATATGAAGGTATCCACATAGCAAGACAAAAGAATAGAATGAACAACAATATAGGAAGAGAAATACACCAATCATGGAACAGAATCATCGACAGAGGGAACGAGGGGTGGAGATATATAAGAGAAATACAGTAGAGCATTGATTATCTGACTCCCGATTAACCGACCTAGAATGGTCGGTTAATCGGGAGTCAGANATACAATAACAAAAAAAGAGAGAGAGAATTTACAGAAAAGGCAACTTAAAGGCTTAGGAAAAATCATCAAATATTAGATTGCTTCATAAGCTTCCATTAGATACGATTTTGGTACTAATCCAACTTTGCCTTTCAAAAGACCAACCCACCAGGCACAGGAATCGTACTCTTTGCTAATTATGTGAATAAGATCTCCGCGCAAGAAATCGAGTTCGTTTTTGTCGTCTCCTTTACAGTCCCACAGTCCGACGTACCAGTCTTGGGGATTAAAATTTTCCCATTCGTTTGTCGTGCTTTCGGCATCGGTATACAGATCGTTTTGATCGCACGATTCTCCCTCCACGTACAGAGGTTCGTTTTCGGCATCGTTCGCTCCTTTTGGAAATTTGGTCTGATTACCCGTCTCGTCGACCATTTCGTAAATGTTATCCTCGTCGCTCTCCACGGATCCCAAAGTAGACGAGTCTCTCTGAAATTCATTTGCTGTCGAAATCTCCAAACTATTAGCTGTTAACAGATAAATTGGTTTATTAGGAAATAAATAAATGAAAATGCAAGTGCTCAATGCTATTCTAACAGACACAGTCAAATTATTTTTGCAAGCACTGCTAGTTTATTCTTATAAACAATCTATATTGATGAGGCCATAAGAGAGCTTTGTAGGTTTCTGGCAGGCCATGTACATTTTTTGAGTTGCAGACTAAGTCTGTAAAGTACTAATATATTCTTTAACCATTGATACACTAAAATAACACAATCAAACCTCTATTAACAGACACTTCTGCTTAATGGACGTTTTTACAATCCTCAAATCCTTCAAATAGGACATTATTATATTTACCTCTAAATAGTGTACACTGTAATCCATAACCAACCTTACTTAAACAATGTACCACTTTTAACATTCTGAAACAATTACATATAAAATATTTTAAAACAAAAACAAAGCCTCAGTTCAAATACTCTTTCAGAGAACAAAGACTGGCTGAAAATAGGAATAGGGGGATGGAAGACTGTAAAAAGCTGAACAATCCTCCATCTCTGAAAGACTAATCTGGTTAATTACTAAAGAATATGTAACTCATTGACAAGAAAATCGTGTGTGATTTTCTTGTCAATGAGTGTACTTTAATTTTTGCCAACAGACCGGTGATGCCGTGGAATCAAATGAAACTATTAGTGCAAACGTAATGACAATAGTAATAAGTGATTACCGTATCATAACAAAAGGACAACTTTACATGTGGAACAGTACACCTCATATGTACTGTACCTCTTGTCTAGATAGGTGCAGTGATTCCATTGGGCAATGAGGCACATAGCACCATGTGCTATTCTATGACAGATTTGCCAACAGTTACAACTACTACTCCAGATCTCACACATTTGTAGGCAGCCAGTGCTATTGTTGTTTGGTCCAACAAGTGCTCAATAGGTGACAAATCAGAAGACTGAGCAGGCCAAGGAAATGAGGCAATATGATGGAAACATTTCTGAGTAACCCTAGTTGTAGGTGGCTGAGCATTATCTTGCTGGAAAATGGCTATTTGCAGTCCTGCCATGAAAGGCAACGTGTGAAGATGCAATATTTCCTGATTGCACCACTACTAGGCGTGATCATCAAAACCAAACCATAAGATTACCTGACATGTTGTTGATGCCAAATATATTTCTCACTAACATCAATGGCAGTAATATACAAGGCTAAATATTAAAAAAGCAAAAGTATCTTCAATTCTCATAAACTGAGAAACAAAATTACTAGAAATTACTCTGTTTCAGAAGTATTTTCGGATAACATGGAGCTTCAAGTGATAAAAGTTCCAATGATTAGAAAGTAATTTTTAACAAAAAATAGTATGTATCCATACGTAAAACTTAGTAATATTGCAATTAGATTCAATCATTCAAAAATGCATTGTCAAAATGATTACTTCTCATTATTTAAAAATACAGTGAAATCTTGCTTAATGAGCAAAACAAATTGTAAAAAAATGACTAGCACGAGGAGAGGAGAGGGGAAGTTGCGGATTGTGCGCATGCTACGTCAGTCTGTGCTTAGCACTCGTTCTGCTAGCAACTTAGTGTCGCTCGTAATCATGCATATTACATATAAACGTCAACAACCGTAGCCCATTATACAATAAACACACCAAGTACATTGAGAAACGTCACCCTAATAAGGCTGACGTGCGTGCTACAAATTTATTTTATGATAATGCAGATTTTCAAGCGTTGGCAAAAACAAATGTCTCTAGACAGCTTTCTAGTAAAGAAGTACTGTACTGTACCATAAATAACAAACTAATTATTTCAATTTTTTTTTTGTTTTCTGCAAATCAAATTTGCATTCCAGGTTGGTTCGTTCCACTCTAGAAGAAATGATGATGATGATTCATGCTCCTTAACCCCTTCACTTTTAAAAAAGGATTTTCAGGAATAAATTGGATAATAATTAGAAGTAAATATAGTTTGAAAAGATTTGTTAAAGAAAATTAAAATACTGTTTCCTTTCTTTATAACAGACTTCAACTTAACAAATAAAAATTCCGATCCTCTCAAGAATGGCCTTTGAAATAAACATATTTTGTCTTACTTCTTTCTTTTTTCAATGAATCTGTGTTTGATTATTTGTTCGTCTTTTGGATTTTTGTTTTATATAAATATAAACTAAAGGCACTTGCAAAGATAAACTTATAAAATGAAATAAGAAAGCATTAATATCATATATTGTAAACTTATGTTTGTTTGAATTACCATTGTGAGACATTTTATTATTTCTTTCAATTGCTGCTACCCATTGTTTAACGTCTTTCGGTGTTAATGCCATAAACTGCAAAATTAGATTTATTTAAAATAGCGTGCTATTTCGGTGTGTTTGGAGACCAAATAAATTTATTAAAATTTTCACGTAAGAATTAATACGAACCTGATACGTTTTTCTTCCTGGACACGTCAACTCAAAGCATAGATCGCGTTTATTAACGTCTTTTGTTGCCGTGGGTGCCGGATTAACTCTATATCCTGCTAATGGTATCTCACCTTTCTGTCTTCTGTCTGTGGGTCTTTCAAAATAATATAGTATTCCATCTTTTATAGCACACCAGCGACGCTGGAAAGGATTCAAAAGACCACCAAGCCTCTCTGAAACAAAAAATTTTGAAGATTTATATAGCTATTCCTCTTATATATGAATTTTAAAATTAAAATGTCTTAATTGTAACTTTATTTGCTCCGTTCTTACTTAACATAAATATAAAATAAAATGTTTAAATAATTTTAGAAGCTGAGTGATAAATATTTATTCAGCATTGTGATCAAGATTACAAAAATTTGATCTAAAATCCTGCCAAGGAATCAGTCGCGGATTATAAAAAGTCTGTTTCTTCATTTAGAAGCAAAAATCTGGTCCATACTTTACAAAAATGATACCAACAAAGGTTGGTCTGCCAATGGCTGAATATTTTGCTGATATATGTTTGAATGTCTTAGAAACTACAGTATTCGTACAATTTAAAGACGGTATGGCGACACGTTCACAGCTTTGTTACATAGAAGATTTAATTATTTTGTAAAAGCAAAAAGGAAGATGCATGGATTTATTTCAACGAACAATTCTAATTACGGTAGAGCATCGATTATCCGAATACCGATCAATCGAAACATCGGTTAACCGAAAGCATTCCGGTCGGCAAATTCAAATTTCTGGTAGTGCCGTGGCGTTGCAGCACTCTCCCCTTCCCTGCCAACGTAAATTGTAGGCCTACTTTAATGTACTACATTATGTAAGGTATTAATTTGTAAGACGCGTGATACAGATTATATACAGTACAGTTTTGTGTTAATATATTTTTCGTATATGATCAATTATCCGAAAAATCAGTTATCCAAACAACCCCAGTCACGAATTGTTTTGGATAATCGAAGCTCTACTGTAATTGGTTGTATATTGTGGGAGATCAGTTAAAATATATATGTAACTTTAAAACCTACAAAAGCGAAGGTATTGTTAAAAAAATAAAAATCGCCGATTTTTTCATCAGTCCTTTTTTTATCATCATCAAAGAGATTTACTTACACTATATGCATTTTGAACTATATTTTCCGACAGTTCCTATTCAGTAGGCAATACAGAAGCACAAAGTAAGTAACACAATTTGAACACTAACATACAAGAGTATCGAGATACAATCTAGTCACGCACTGTCGACCGATTTAATAATGTCATACCGGCCTGTGAAAATTTGCATACGTCATTTACATTTAATTTATTTTTAGTATTAATTATTCTAGTACATTTTATAGTAAGAGATCAATAATGATTGCACTAATTTGGAGAAAAATGATTAATAAACAAAAGAGCTAGGTACTATTAGCAAAAACAGAATGTCCAACATTAATAGAACATCTTGACTTATGATATCTTTTTAAATTAAAATTAGTAGCTGATTTTGCTACCATTTTTGGAAACAAGCTGAAAAATATGATTAGACATTGAATTAATCATAGATTGCGGTTGCTCGTGTGGAATATTTTCCCATACTTCAACGAGATCAGTCTTTAGTTCGGTGATGGTCTTGTATTGCTTTCCGCTGCTAAACATTTGGAAAACCAAGTAACCCAAAGATTTTCAATTGGGTTTAAATCTGCACCGAGGAGTGGCCAGTCCAGAAGTCGGACGTTCTTGATCCTAAAAAAGGATAATATTGATTTTGATTCACGGAAGCTTGCATTATCCTGTAGGAATTCAAAGATCTGTCCAGCAATTTTCTGTCCATAAGTTTTGAACTGCCTCCATACAAGTTCCTGATAAATTTTGACCATCAATAAATACTACATCTGTCTTTCTATTCCATCCCATCCAATCCCCACCCAGATCAGAAGTATACCACCACCACTACTCTTTACTACTACTGTACTACTCTTTACTACTCTTTACTACTTACTCTGTACTACTCTTTGTGTACTGCTTTTAATCTAGTCTTTTGTCAACCCAATAATACTTAAAACCGTCGGGTCTGTCAAGATTCCAATTTTTCTCATCCAAGAAGATTAAAAGAGGGGAAGGATGGCAAAAAGCAAAGTTATTTCTGGCAAACTGTAGTTGAAGTTGTTTGTGTTTCTCCTTGAGCCAGTTGACTGTCTTCATTTTGTCTGTTGATCTCAAAACTTTGTGTACTGTTGATTTACTGCAGCTCAGCCTTAATTTATTTTTGATTTTTTGAATGGATGTGTTTCCTTGCATGCATGTCGAACAATTGCATATCATTCTCTAGATGTTGTTGAACTCTTGCACCCACTGTTTTCTTTTCCTGTTTGTTGCTCCTTATTATTGAGATACTTAGATATTATTATCAACATTCAACAATCTCAAACACTTTTGTTTATTAATCACTTTTCTCAAAACTTATGCAATAGTTGTTGATATTTTGCTATCAAATATACTAGAAAATTTCATCAAAGTTACATGAAAATAATAAAGAGTTTCTAGGCAATCATTGTATGTTCTATTATTGTTGGAAGGAATGCATATATGATTGGAAGTAAAGTACAGTCATATCTCCACTGTAGTGTTGTTACAGACAAACTGCTTAGAAAACAACGTAAATCTCCTTGTTTTCTACTAAGCAGTGTGTCTGTAACAACACTACAGTGGAGTGTAAAGTGACTGTACTTTACTCCCAATCATATATATGTATATATATAAGTAAACATGTTATTCCGCAATACTTTAAAACAGCACACAATTTTTCGTTTTATTATTACATCATAAGATTATACTAATCTAATTATAAATGTTATTATACCGTAATTATTGTTCTAAATGTATAAAACTGTTAAAATAGCAAAATTTAAGTCTATGTTTTGTACTACCAGATACGGCATAAACAGAATTGAAGAGGGATATAATACCCGAAATGCATATTCTGTTCAATTAAAGCCTCTTCTCCTCCCGAAAAGCATATTCTGTTCAATTAAAGAACGGCAAAATGGTGTGAAAATTCACACCATTTTGCCGTTCTTCCTGTACAATAAGTCCGTTATAGCAATTTTATACTCACATAGATGACATTAATACAACCAGGACAAGAAACTTTTAAATCAGAGCACAAGAGGTAGTTAAGAGGGTGCTGTAGTGGGCATGTGCATGCCACGAATTTGTTTGATCTGTCGTTTTGTCTCAGCTGTGAACATTAATTTGCTTGCTCACTCTTTGCTAGCAGTATAAATGACTAAGTTAGAATTATGACTCTCCATCTGGTAATTGGATGAAATACGATATTTTTCTGGTATATTATTACTTCTAGTTATTACAAATTAATGTAAAATAATACACAAACACTTATCAAAAGTCAGATAGAAGAGAAGAAAATGCATACAAAGTTTTAAAAGTAAGAGACACAAACATAACACAACATAAAACACAATAATAATAATAAATTTCCATCTAAGATGAAATTTATTATTATTGCAATTCTTGTGAGGTTATGAAAAATTAATATACAGTACAGAACTGTAAATAGAATACTGGATTGAATCCCGCTAAAAGTTTAATATGGATTATAAAAGTAAACAATAATAATTTCACATAATACTGTACATTTTAATATACAGTAATTATAACGTTCATGCAGAGTAATGTATTAACACTGAATAATAGAGTATTGAAATATAGGCTATGTGTACAATGAATGAAAGACGTTTGCAGTAGGTTTTGTTAAGACATATTAGAAGAGGACATAACAGTAACAGCTACCTCCAGGAATGTTTGGATGTGTTTGGACTAGACAAATATATATAGTAGAACCTCACTAATTTGAGCTAATTGAGGAAGTTTTGGTGTAAATTAGCAAGGTCTTTACTCAAATGCATATTGGATGATCCAAAAAGTACACTCTCCTTAAACTCAAATTTTATTTATACTTTAAAAGAACAAATGCAGTGGGGTTTGATAAACTATTACAATGCAACAGTAGTAGTATCATCATTAAAGCTCAAATTAGTAAATGCTGGCAATTATTTGGAACTATTGTTAATGCTCACATAACATTCATAAAGCAAAAGAGAAGATCGAAATAATAGCGGTTTCATATCTGAGAAAAAAAAATCTCTTGTGATAAATCAATGTGCAATAATGTGCATATCATAAAGAATTTGTATAAAGATGGTAAAACAATAAGAAGAGCATATATACTGTGCCATTAAAATGACAAAAAATAAAAAGTAGAAATATAACCAGAGAAAACACAAAAGTCTAAAAATAATGCTGCAATTCATGTGACATCAAGCTCTTTTAATGCCAGAAGTGCTTTGAAGAGGTACAGGGTGAATCAAAATTATGTGAGCAATCTTGGGCGAATCAAAATTACGTGAACACTATTTGAAAGAAAGCATTCACTCAAAGTTTGCATTATATAGAGTCTCAACCTGATCACCAGAATGATTAATGCACTCAAACCAACGCTCAACAGTACAATTTAGTGCCAGAACACTGGATATTGGGGAGGCCATAAGAACGGTCCGTCACTACCAATCGGAATAGAAAACGAAACAAAATTAAGATGTTTCATTAATAATGTTTAATTAAAAATTAAGATTGTTCACATAATTTTGACTCACCCTGTATATACAGGGTACCTACTCAAATTTTTGTTTTAAATTCCATGACTTTCCCTGACTAACTTTGTACAAATTCACATGCTGTACCGTCAATGTATAGAGACCCTCACGTCTCTATACATTGACTAACTTTGTACAAATCAACGTGCTGTACTGTCAATGTATAGAGACCCTCACGTCTCTATACATTGACTAACTTTGTACAAATCAACGTGCTGTACCGTCAATGTATAGAGACCCTCACGTCTCTATACATTGACTAACTTTGTACAAATCAACGTGCTGTACCGTCAATGTATAGAGACCCTCACGTCTCTATACATTGACTAACTTTGTACAAATCAACGTGCTGTACCGTCAATGTATAGAGACCCTCACGTCTCTATACATTGACTAACTTTGTACAAATCAACGTGCTGTACCGTCAATGTATAGAGACCCTCACGTCTCTATACATTGACTAACTTTGTACAAATCAACGTGCTGTACCGTCAATGTATAGAGACCCTCACGTCTCTATACAT